CAGGAAGGAGTTTTTTGATGGCTGCAAAGCAATAAGTGCAGACAGCATTGACGGAATCTGTGCACGGTTCCCTAGCCTCTTAACAGAAGCCAAACAAGAGGATAAATTCAAGGATCTCTACCGGTTTACATTTCAGTTTGGCCTGGACTCTGAAGAAGGACAGCGGTCACTGCATCGGGAAATAGCCATTGCCCTGTGGAAACTAGTCTTTACACAGAACAATCCTCCAGTTTTGGACCAATGGCTAAACTTCCTAACAGAGAATCCCTCGGGGATCAAGGGCATCTCCCGGGACACTTGGAACATGTTCCTTAACTTCACTCAGGTGATTGGCCCCGACCTCAGCAACTACAGTGAAGATGAGGCCTGGCCAAGTCTCTTTGATACCTTTGTGGAGTGGGAAATGGAGAGAAGGAAAAGAGAAGGGGAAGGGAGAGGTGCACTCAGCTCAGGGCCCGAGGGCTTGTGTCCCGAGGAGCAGACTTAGTGGCTCTGTCCCAGGAGCAGCAGCAAGGATCTGCCCGCTGTCCTGCAGCCAACAGAGGAATTGGACCTTTCTGGAAATTACTGAAGATCCGGATATTTTCTACTTTACACCTTTCTCTGCCTTGTATCTGAAAGGGCTCTAAAATGCTGTATCATGTTTTAGGCACTTTCTTCATTTTTTGGTTATTTTGGTTATTTCTTTTTTGGGGGGGATCCCCCAAAATATTTGAACCTGGCTACATGTTGTATATCTTTTTTTGAAGCCTTCAGATAGAATAAGCCTGCCATTTCTTGCACAAATTAGATTTTTTTTTTTGTGGGGGAGGGTGTAGAGCAGGGTGGGGGATGGGACCGTTAGGTTGAATTAACATTACAAAATGATACAGTGCCAGATCTCAGTTTTGCATATTGTTTTTCAGGGCAGGTCTGTACTGTGTGTAGTGCTGTTTACATGGTTAAATTTAGGTTGTAATAATTATTTTTAAAGATTTACACAGATTTGAATAGCAGTGTTAACTGTAACCACATTGCATTAATTCCCAGGCGAATTAGAGCTCTTGGAGTGCCAAGGCCAGCCAAGAGCATT